CAAAAAAAGCTTTTGATAAAATCCAGCATGCTTTCTTGATAAAACCCTCAAATACCTAGTTATAGAAGGAACATACCTCAAAATAGTAAGTGCCGTCTATGTTAAACCCACAGTTAACATATTGCTAAATGTACAGAAACCGGAAACATTTCCCCTGAAAACTGAAATAAAACAAGGCTTTCCACTCTCACACCTCTTGTTCAACATTGTGTTGGAAGTCCTAGCTAGGGCAATTAGACAAGAGAAGGAAATAAGGGATATCCAAATAGGAAAAGAAGAAGTCATGTTATCCCTCTTTGCCGATGATTTGATCCTATACCTCGAAAATCCAAGAGAATCTGTCAAAAACCTGCTTGCACTGATAAAGGACTTTGGAAAGTCTCAGGGTACAAAATAAATGTGCAAAAGACAGTTGCATTCCTATACATAAACAACAAGCAGGCAGAGACCCAAATTAAAAGCACAATTCTATTCACAATAGCCACAAAAAAAAGAAATACCTTGACACCTTCCTAACCAGAGATGGGAAAGACCTTTACAATGAGAACTACAAAACGCTGCTCAAAGAAACCCAAGAAGACACAAAAAAACTGGAAAAAAGTATTCCATGCTCATGGATAGGAAGAATCAACATTGTTAAAATGTCCATCCTACAAAAGGCAATCTACAGATTCAATGCAATACCCATTAAGTTACCAACATCATTCTTCTCAGACCTGGAAATGACAATACAGAATTCATTTGGAAACCTAAATGACCATGAATAGCCAAAACAATCCTTAGCAAAAGAATCAAAGCAGGGGGTACCACACTTCCAGATTTCAAACTTAACTATAAGGTCACAGTAATCAAAACAGCCTGGTATTGGTACAAAAACAGGCACATAGACCAAAGGAACAGGATAGAGATTCCAGAAGCAAACCCTCAATTCTTCAACCAATTCATCTTTGACAAAGCCTTCAACAACAACCACTGGGGAGAGGAGAACCTATTCAGTAAATGGTGCTGGAAAAACTGTCTGATCACATGCAGAAGATTGAAACAGGGCCCCTACCTATCACCATACACAAAAATTAACTCTAAATGTATCAAAGATCTAAACGTAAAACCTCAAACTATAAGAATCTTAGGATACGCAGGAGACACCCTTATGGAAATTGAACTGGCAGCTATTTCCTGTTCAGAATCCTAAATGCCCATACCTTAAGAAATAAGATAGACAAGTGGGACCTCATCAAACTCACAAGATTCTGCAATGCTAAAGAAATCATCAAGAGAACAGGGAGACAGCCCATAGAATAGGAAAAAATACTTGCCAACTGTATATCTGGCAAAGACATAACATCTAGTATCTATAAGGAACTCAAACATGCCGAAAGGAAAAAAAAAACAAAACAAACAACCCCATTAAAAAGTGGGCAAAAGGCATGAATAGACACTTCTCAAAAGAAGATATACAGGCAGCCAACAGACACATGAAAAAGTGCTCAACCCACTCATCTTCAGATAAATGAAAATCAAAACCATATTGCATCTAACCCCAGTAAGAATGACCATCATTAATAAAACAAACAACAACAGATGCTGGTGAGGATGTAGGGAAAAAGAAAGGCCTCTACACTGCCGGTGAAAATGCAAACTAGCTCAACCTCTTTGAAAGACAGTGTGGTGATTTCTGAAAGAACTAGAAATTGACCTTCCATATAATTCAGCAATTTCCCTATTGGGAATATACCCGAAAGAACTCAAATCATTCTACCAAAAAGATACTGGCACACATATGTTTGTTGCAGCTCTATTCTCAATAGCAAAAACATGGAATCAACCATGTTGCCCATCGAAGCTGAACTGGATAAAAAAATGTGGTACACATACTCATGGAAAATTATGCAGCCATAAAGAAGGACAAACATACAAACTTCGCAGCAACTTGGATGGATTTAGAGTCGATCATACTCAGTGATCTATCACAGAAACAAAGAACAGAGTACCATTTATTCTCACTCATAAGTGGACCTTGAACAATTATAATACAATAAGAAAGGAACTGGCAGTAGTGGGAAACTATCAGGTGATGGGGGTGGGATTGGTAGTTGAGGGAAACTGCTAGGGGAGGGAGGGGCATTCCTCATCAACAAGAGTACCTGCATAATCAACATTTGTATACCTAACCCTGAATTGTACTCCACAACTTTATAATAAAATAATAATAATAAAGCATATATCAATATTCTAAAATAGACACACAAAATATACACACAAATATACAAAATATAAATATGGAAATATGGTGACATTTATTTTGTTCTTTTTAAGTATAAAACTATGTTCTGCTTTCTTAGTCAGTTTGGACATTCAATAAAGCAACCCGAGTGGCAGTCTATAGCTTTTATTTTTATACAGCTATATTGAAATGGAAGCCACACATTTCACAATATTTAAAACAAATTATAATATCCTGGTTAAATTTAGACAAGTCAAGGAACAACAGCTTTGCAGTTTCATGTATTTAAAATTTCCAGAATTCTTGCTTGGTATCTAAAAGCATTTGTACGATCATTTATATGTGAAATGTTGTTGGTGAAATTTATCTGTACATTAAAATCATGTGGAGAAAGTTGAACAAATAAATACAACTAATATTCAGACCCCACCCATCAGGATACTGTGTTAAACTTTTAGGAGTGGGTCCTGGGCATAAGTATTTTGTAAGAGCCCATCAGGTGATTCTATTCTGAAGCCAGAGCTAAAAACCACTACTAGTCTAGAATTTCAAAACTAATATTCACACAAATCTCACTAATTCCTACTGCTTCCATCTGATTTATTTCACACATTTTATTACTTTTTTGTCACAAACTGTAATTGAGTCTATAGGCTACGAATACTGAGCATTCTGAGATAGAATGTGTAGCTTCTTGGAACTAGAGACTCCATAAATCAAAGCCTATTCAAGTGAGATCGGGTTGCATTCATTTTTGTGATAGCAGAAGCAATTTTTTGAAGAGACCCAGATACAGACAGAGACGAGAACATGGTAACAGCTGCTTATGCAATTTTTTAAAGAGAGACATGTTGCCACAGAAAAGGAGGACAAAAAAAAAATGGAATACAGAAACAGGTAACACAAAACAATTTATGATTTTGAGAGTTTCAATCCTTGGTAAGAAAAACAGACTGGAATCTGGCTTTTAGAAACCTTAACAAGCCACTTAAAACGTTTTAGTTTTACATTCAAATGAGAACATGCTTTTGCCGAGCACGATGGCTCACGTCTATCATCCCAGCACTTTGGGAGGCAGAGGTGAAAGGATTGCCTGAGTTCACAGGTTCCAGAACATGCTTGTAAGCAGTTTTAAAAACATATCAAGAAATAAAAACACCACCCTTTAAATTAAAACCATGATTTTGTCACTCAGCTGGATATAAACATTTGAAAACCTTCACGTCCTCCTAACTCAAATCAAACTCCTTAGTTTGGGAACTCAGGGCCCCTCACACTCTAGTTTTAAATATTACTTATAGATGTATATCCTACAACTTCTGCAATTTAGTTTCAAGTCGTATTGCTCTAATAATTCCATGCCACTGACAATTTGTTCGCATTGCCAAAGACTTATTAAAATACGTCAAAAATTGTCCTTTCTGCCTAAAACATTTTTTATACTTTCCATTCTTGGATGTAAATTGTATAGCCTTTTATTTCTACTTTTCATTAACGTTATGTTCCAAATTGTATGGTTTTGGTACATGTTTATATATACAAATGTTTTAAGGCAAAGTATTGGTAAATTTATTTTTTTAAATCCATTTTGGCAGCCAGTAGAGGAAATAGAGATCATTTAAAAAGTATTTTTCTATTTTTTTTTTTTTTACTTTTTTTTAGGTGTAGCTTTATTTTATTTCAAGCATGAATAATTTCAGCAGACACTTTTCATTTTGAATTGAAGCCTAACTTTGATTCTACTCAAAGCAATTATTGTCATTGACTGGTTCTTAAATCTACATATAATAGATATCTACGCTTAATTTTGCCAGAGTTCAAGAAATAGAATTTCATTGCATTTATTAGAGAAAAATCACAGGGTACACAACTCATATTTTCTATTATCTTCTGGTGATTAAGAATCCGCCTGTAATATTATGTCTCTGTAATGCTGGGCTTATTAGTGTCATGAGAAGAATACTCTGGAATCATATCTTGTTTTTGTTTTTAACATTTTAACAGCTTTCTGTCATTTGGTTGTGCGAAGGAGCACATTGTTCAGCCTGTGGTCACCCACTTAGTTTTAAAAACTCATGGTCATAGTTGTCCTAAAAATCTGATTCTTCTTTTTTTTTTTTTTTTTTTTTTTTGGGTTGGGGTCCCCCCTTTTCCCCCAAACTGGGGGGCGGGGGCCCCCCCCCGCCCCCCCCCCCCCCCCCC